ATATATATTTTGGATTGGCACGTTGGGGCATTACATCAGCATTACAGATACGTTACTGGCTACAAGCACCATCATCCTGAACTTGTCTCGGAATTGACACATTTATGACATCTGATGTCATATGTTGACCGGTTTTTATTGACACCGATCATTTGATATCCCTCCGATTTCGATTTCCCTCTGAGTTAAGCGATGGTGGTGGACCAATGAAGACACGAAATCATGTATACTTTAAAGGTTTTTTTTCTGTTTACTAGTGTCTACTTTTCGTAAATGAGAAATTGATATCGGTGAAATTTATTCGGTCGGTGTCGTGCGACCAGCATCCGATCTCTGACCAAACCTTAAGCATCCACCATCGGTAGATGTACACTTCATTCAAGACTCGAGGGATCGTCAAATCACGGGAGCTCGGCGCCTGCGAGACTCGGGATAGGCCACCCCGCCGCACACACATGCACTGCAAACGAGATGTTGCCTACATACTAGGCGCTATGAAAGCTTTCGGCCAGGATCGACTTTGCAGTTCCGTAGCGGCCAATGACAAACGCACTCTCTGGCTGACCCCTACCAGTAACCCCGCCAGCTACCCCACTCTCCTTCAGTAGCCGGTCAATAGGTCACGGGTAACCGAAGCCTGGCGCGCATTTAATTGCCCACCTTCACCTCATGAACGCTGACGCTGTTCCCCATATCGAGGAGCTCTTAAAACGAAATGATTAAATGTCATGCCGGATTACTCGTACAAGCTGCTGGGTTAAACAGTGGGGTACTCGCGTGCCATATTAAAGGGGCCCGTAAAAATGATTACGGCCCTTCTTAGCCAATAAATCGCGCTAATGCCGTGTAGAACACGCGGGTACACAATCCTCTTATTACCATCACCCCCTCCCCCGACACACACGAGCGAGCGCGACGGTGTGATTTAGCAAGCGCAAGCGTGATGCATGCGGCCAGCGAGCGCCGGTTATTAGGTGAATCCTTTGCGCCAAGATAGCACCTCGGGCAACTATCCAAATTAGAGCCCCCCCCCCCTCTGTTGGGTCCTCTGCACGGCCCTGCGGGGGACTGCCGCGTAAGCGCTAAGCAGGGCCGCCAACAAATCACGCCGACATTACCGTTGTGAGCGGGGCGGCGGGGGCGGCGGACGCCAAAGGTGTTCCGGGCAAAAAAAGGAAGGAAGGGAGAGGGTGAGTCACGGGAGAGGCCGGAGTTCACACTGCATCATTCCATTCCTCACAGTGCCTGATTGATAGAGCCCACCACCTTCAGCATTTTAGCAAGTTTCCCCCGCTGCAATTTACTAAGTTCTTTACTAACCGTTAGTCCTGCGCGGTGCAATAGTCAGGAAGATGAGTCACAAGAGAAACAGTAGAACAAGTATCTTCTCTCAGTGCCGGGCACCGAGAGAGCCGTACCGGCGGTGTTCGAGAGAGAGAGAGAGAGAGAGAGAGAGAGAGAGAGAGGCGTCGGTCGCTTGCGGTCCGCCCCCGTAGTGGGCCGTGTCGGGACGCAGCGGTCTTCGGCCGGACCCACCCGGACCGCAGCGCCGCGCTCATAATTTGGAGACTAAACGAGGGTGGCCCGCTTCCGGGGGGAGGGGGCGCTGCGGGGGAAATAAGGCCCTCTGCGGGGACAGTCCCTGCCGGAGATTTAGACAGTGTTGGCAACGCCCGGCAGGCTGTGCCGCACACTCACATACACACACACACACACGCACACTCGAACTCAGGTCTACGGAGGGCGGGGCTAGGCCCGGATCGCTGGGCGGGGACTTCGGGGCGCGGGGCCGACGGTAGCACTGGCACTGCAGTCCGCGGCGGTGTGGCGGCGGCGGCGGCAGCCGCACGGCAGCCAGCCAAGAGTGTGTGTGAGAGAGAGGGAGGGAAGGGAGTAGTAGTGGTGGCCGGGCTCGGCGGGCTGCTGCTCGGGGCCGCGCGCCCGCACCGCCCGGCCGCACCGACACACGCACGCGAGCAGCCGCCGGCCGCAGCCGCAGCCGCGCCCAGACGAGTCGAGCCGAGTCGAACCGAACCGCGGGAGGAGCCGGTCGTTGCGAGACGGACGACATCCGCCGGGCAGCCTAACCTCACTCCCGGACGCGACCTTAACCTCCCAGCCCGCGCTGACGCCGCGCCGCGCCGCGCCGCCCTCGTGGGGCTCGTCACTGTGAAGAGCGTAGTGACGACGAGTTGGTGGTTGCCGAGTGTGCGTAGGATGGGATAACACCTGTGGATACCACGCCGAACGTCCAGCCGCGCACGCAGAGGTGAGTGCGCAGGTCGTGCCAGCGGACTCGGCAGCCGAGCTGTCGTGCGCACCGGACGAGAGCAGTGTCCGCCACCATCGCGTTGTTTGTTGACGTGCCGGCTGCCGCCGCGGGGACTGGCGACCTGGCGGTGTTGTGTTTGGTGTGTCGCCTCGGAGTCAACTAACTGTGTGGTTGTATGTGTTCAGATTTGATTGTTGTGATTCTTTTCCTCCTGGTGAATAGACCATTCCAGTAAACCGAATAGAAAGAGGAGCAGACGTAAGAAGCAAAGCGTGTTATGAGAAATCTACAGTGCGCCTCGGGAACGCTTTAAAGTTAGATATTCTGCATCGCCTGATGAGATTGAAAACTGTTTTCTTTAACTGGCAGACGAATTCAGAGACCATTCAGAAAGCACTCCACCATTCGCCGAGAGAGCCAAATCCAGCCAAAGCAAACCCTCATAGCGCCTGTTAGGTAGGCAACATGTCGCATGCAGTGCATGCGTGTATTGCGGGGTGGCCTACCCCGAGTCTCGCAGGCGCCGAGCTCCCGCTGCCGCCGAGTGCATCTCGGGAAAGCGGACATTTAAGACGATCCGTAAGACATCTGACAAGTGACGAATACACGCAGGTGGGACCGACGAATCACGCATCACCGTATATTTCTCATGCACACCTCTGCTTCTTCTTGTTTCTTTTCGCTGTACCGGACTGGTGTATTATTGGACTTGCACGAGCTGGTTGTCATGCTTCCCCATACACGCCCCACAATGGGCGTGTGCTCTTGCCACTTTCTGCGAGCGATACGTCGAGTGGGCCGCTAGTCGCGTCCCGCTGCCGTGCCGGTAATGCGCGGCTCGTGCCATTCATTTGGGCTACTGATCGATGAATGGACACGGCGTGTGTGTGTGTGTGTGTGTGTGTGTGTGTGTGTGTGTGGCGACACTGCAAAGGCAAAGCGTGACGTTTGGCACGTCATCTGATGATGCACTCTGCTTACTCTGTAAGTTGCTTACGAACAATAGGTTCGTAATGCAAACCGATTGTTCGTAAGAACCTGTCTAGCCTAACAAACAATCGCTTTGCAATACAAAGAACGCAAATTGTTCGTAACGTTGCAAAGCATTTAGTAAGATTTTTACAGTGTACACACTCTGAATACACGTTCCTGATGGGCTCTGTTTCCCAGAATGCAAGTCGCTTATATCATGCGAATGGTGAATAGAACCGCTCACAGGCGGAATGGACGCGTTTACGAAACGTTTTCCGCCGTGAGAGAGCTGCATTAAAGAAACGTGACACGTGTGACACGTGTCACATTTAGGTTTCCCGGTGATGCGCCCCTCCCACACGACCCGATTACGAGGAACGGGGCCGCGGGATCGAGGAGAGGGACTGGTGTTTTGGAGTCGATTTCTGCCGTGGAGGGTTATATCCGCCAATCGCACATCAAAGCCTTCGCGTGTCGTTGGCGCGGCCGGGCGTGGCAGGCCGCCCGGAGCGGGGACATATCACACACCGACGACACCACTCTCACAAAATCCTATCCATCTGGGAAAGAAATCGTCACGTTGCGAAAATTTTCGTCGCAACAAAGTCACAATTTTTCAAGCTTAAAGATGCTCTAGTCAACACATTTTTTCAACAGCCGATCGAAAAAATTGTGACTGGTTTCTTGGACGACATTTTCGTTACAACCACGATTGTTCGCAAGGATTCAAATGTGTAAATGACATTTTCCCTCCAAAAGAAGCAAGAGGTTTTTTGAGCACTTTTTGCCCCACCGACCGACCAGGGCCCAACCGAATCGTACTATCGTACCGCTCCACTCCGCCTTCTTCTTCAACTCACTGCCCCCCGACCCCCTCTCACCCCCTACCCTCGCGGCCGTCCGAGAAAACTGCATTCCCACTTCATGAGCTTCCTGGTGCAGTGATAGCCGCCCGTCATGCTCCCCCGCTTTAGGAAGTAAAGCACTGCGAGGGGGCGCTCCGGAGCGCGCGGGTTGCATACTCCTCAGGAAGCCATTTTGCCGAGGGAAGTCCGCCCCTTCATGGCGGCCATATTAAACGTACGACCGGAAGTTGTCGCCCCCCGCGGCGCCCACACGCGAGCACAAAGTAATATAGAGTCGCGTCGTCTTCGTGCGCCCGCGCCATTAAAAGGAATAATAACTACAAACAATGAGAATAATAATAATAATTACCGTCGCCGAGTACGGCAAATAACACAACATTCCTCGGCCCATTAGGGCTCATCCGAAAGGTTCGCGGGATGCAATCGATAACTGTCTCTCTCCCGCCGCGCGGCCCGCCGGCCGCGCTGTGGTGCGGCTCCGTCATTTGTTTTACGGCAGCGCGTCCATCAATAATTCGTCTCCCTGGCTCTCCTCCGCACGCCGCACTGCGTGTAAGACTCTCCCTGCTTCCCCCTCCCCACACACGCTCTTCCCTGCCGCCCGCCCGCGCGCTCTCCGCCTCGACGACGTCTCGGCTTCACGGCGGTGCAAGACATTTCGGCCCAGGATATCAAGGGCGCGTCCGAAGTGGCCGCGGCCGGTCCGGCGCCTGTCTCCCCGGGCTCCGGGCCGCACTCCGGACGCCTCCCCTCTCTCTCCGGGGCCGCTGCTGTGCTGCTGCCGCTGCTGGTGTCGCCGCTGGCGCGTGTTCCGGGCCGTAGAGCCGGCGCGAATGGCCCGGAACGCACTCACACCTGTTTTAGCCTTCCGGCGGGAGCTTGGGGGCGGCGCGGGGGCGGCCCCGGGGTCGGCAGGGGTCGCGGCCGGGGGCGGCAGCTGCTGCCTGCGACTTGTTGCGCGGCGGCCCCGAGTGATGGCTGCAGTCGTCATGTCGGAGCGATTACCGACGGCCGCGATGCATCACACGTTGTGTCGATCAGACGCGCTGCCGGGCCGGTGCCGACAAATCATCTCGAGCCGACCGGAGAGAAAGTCGGGAGAGCCAAGAAGAAGCAAAAGGCGAGAATTTGAAACGAGGAGGGCATACAGAGGCAAGAGAAGCCTGTTCGCAAGGACAGCGTGAGTCACTCGGAATTGTGAACATTATCTTTACGACAATCGTCCTCCTCCTGGGCAGCTCTGTCCCTGAAAACAATTTCACTACACACGCGCCCGCTGCTAGAACCTGGATGACGCCAAGGACCAGGCGAGTGGTAGATATCCATCACGAGCGATTTGAAAGGTCAGACAACAACAGAGGAGAACCTGGCCACTTCCATAAGCGCGCCTCGGGACGGGTTAATTGTCCTGCCAGACGAGACCACCGCCACCGAGCGCCGCGCAGGGAAATGTCTTGTGGCGTGCGCATGGGCTTTTATTACGGTAAGGCGGAGGAACGGTGATGGAGTTCTGCTGCTGCTTCGAGAAACGTTTGCCATCTCTCGGAGTCGAGCCTATTTCTTGACTGAATAAGTGTGTACCAGTGCCAGTATCAACAGTCGCTATGGCATAAGATGCAAGGCCAGAGGGAATCGACGTGGGTAATCCACTGCACTGGAGAGACCGGTTAGAAAGAAAGGTGTAATGTCTCACATTTGCAGGGGTGCTAAAATTCAAGTTTAATTTATTTTGTATAAACACTCAACGTAATTCGAATACACGGTAATCGGTTGTAATTCAGTTTAAGAAATCAATTTCATCTGGTTTGTGTGCGAGCGAAGGGAATGCTTCTCGTTCGTGCAGAGATCAAACGCCCTCCCCCCCTAACTCACACACACCCGTTGTCTTCCAGAAAATAGGTAACATCTCACAGAATAATAATGATCGAATTTTAATTTTTAAAAGATTTACCGACCGGGCAGCTTTATCGAATATGCCCCGAGGGAAGAGGCAGAGCGAAAAGATGGAAGACGCACGAGTCGACCAGTGTGAGGCTGGACGAGTTGGACCAGCGAGTACACTATATTTTCCAGAGGTGTAGCCAGGAGAGGGACACACAGGTGTAAGCACCAGGGTCATACAATGTGATCTCAAGGTGTATGCAGGTCGAGCACTGCTTGAAAGGAAACAGGTCGGGACACTTTTTGTCATACACACTTCGGACAAAGGTGCACGGCAGGCCAGAAGGCGACTCAACTTGTAATTGCAGTGTTTTCTGTAGCACCTTCTCCTGGAACACCTCTTTGAAACAACAGTGTGTGCAACCCACCCACACACGTGCCATGTGGCAGAGTTTCGCTGCGCTAGAAAGGTGGGCCCTCCCTTTTAGCCAGTCGGGCCACCCCAGCACCGTAAACGTCTGTCTCCACAACGCATTGGGCTGCCCTGCCCGCGGCGCATCTGGGCCCGGCCCGGGGCCCAGCAGGGCCAGCAGGGCCAGCAGGGCGCAGCAGCCATCAGGGCCGGGCCGGGCCGGGCGGCCACGCCTCGCGCTGGAATTGATTGCAGGCAATGCGTTGCAAAGGCAGCGCATAGGCGTGTGCCGGGGCGGGACGGGACGGCCATGGCCGTGGAGTGGTGGCCACGAATTATGATACGACTTGGTCATTGGGGCCGCGCATCGGCCCGCCCCGCCCCACCCCGCCCCGCCCCGACACGCGCTGCTGTTCGCTCCCACCATCGCACTGCCCGGCTCGGGACCAGGGAAATGCACTCTGACACTGCTCTTTTCCAAAGTTTGGCGTCGCAGGAGAGTATGTCGGGCTGCTGCTGCTGCTGCTGGCGCTAGTCCTGAAAGTGGATTGCGAAAGACAGAATTCGGTATCGGGGGGACAGGAAATGAGTTTGCCGGCTTCGCGATCAAAGGGTATAAAAGAGCCTGGAAGAGGAAAAGCTGGCAAAGGGGGGGGGAGGTAGGTAGGTGCGACGGTAAGGGACAGAGGGAAGCTCCCTCCAAATGAACTAGAGAAACGCGCGACGACCGTGCGCAGATCAGTTTTGCGCCTGGTGCGGAACCTGTTTGCCGGACTCCCAAAGAACCCCGCCGCGCCCACCCCGCCCCCCGCCTCGCCCCGCAGCGCGGTCCTGCCTGGACACCACACCCGTGGATCGTGAATAGA